TAAATTAAATATTATATATATAATTAAATATAAATATATAATTATATAATTATATAATATATACAAATATTAATTATACTAATATTTTATATAAATATAATATATATTACATATTAAATATAGTTATTATTATATATTATTATATTTAAAATAATTATAATTATAATTATATAACTTATTAATATTACATACATGTATATATTATAATTATATGCACATATAATATACATTTATAAATATACATATATATTATAAATATAATATTATATAATATTAATAAATTTATAATATATATTATATAAGTATAATTATATTTAACTAAATAATTATAATATATAATTATATAATACAATAACATCATTATTATAAGTTTGTAACTAATTAAATTAAATGTTATATATATAATTAATTAGAATTATACAAACGCTATAAAATAAATACATAATTATAATTATATAATATATAAATATTAATTGTACTCATATTTTATATAAGTATAATGCATATTAATATTAGATATAGTAATTATTATATATTATTGTATTTAAAATAATAAATATAATTATAATTATAATTATATAATTTATTAATATTATATACATGTGTATATTATAATCATATGCACATATAATATGCATTTATAAATATACATATATATTATAAATATATTATTACATAATATTAATAAATTTATATATATTATATAAATATAATTATATTTAACTGAATAATTATAATATATATTTATATAATGTACTAATATTATAATTATAATATATTATATATATGTACATAACTATAATTATATAATATATAAATATTAATTGTACTCATATTTTATATAAGTATAATGCATATTAATATTAGATATAGTAATTATTATATATTATTGTATTTAAAATAATAAATATAAATATAAATATAATTATATAATTTATTAATATTGCCTACATGTGTATATTATAATCATATGCACATATAATATGCATTTATAAATATACATATATATTATAAATATATTATTACACAATATTAATAAATTTATATATATATTATATAAATATAATTATATTTAACTAAATAATTATAATATATATTTATATAATGTACTAATATTATAATTATAAGATATTATATATATGTATATATTATAATATATAATAAATATAATATATATAAATATTAATTATATCATTGTATAATTATAATATGTAATTGGATTTGTTTCTTGGAATCAAACTTGGGAATTGGACAAAACCCACCAAAATACTTGGGAATGGAGAAACACCAAATTTTTAGAAATCATTCCAAGATTTCAATTCCCATTCCAGTGAACCAAACACCATTTATGGGGTTCATTCCATTCTCCGAATCCGATACCCTCTTACCAAACGCCCCCTAAAGAATTCGGGATCTTCAATCAAAATATTGCCATTACAAGATGATAAAGGTCTTGCCTGAGAGATTTGCTAAACTTCGGGCTATCTTCTGGGGTCCTTTATTTTTTTTGGTTTACACATATTCAGATTTTCATATTTACCTTCTTCACTGATCTAGATGTATGTTCCTTGCCAAGTATTTTTTTATTTTTGGGATAATATTAGAAACCTCCCTTGATGTTTGTCTTAATATCACCTGGCACTCCCAAAAGTTTTAAAAATATCACTTACCTCCCTTACTTTTGTTATTTGTTTAACAAAATTTTTAAAAATCCTAAACTATCCTTTCACTGGCCAAATAAAAATGTTCCTAAACCACTTTGTTTCACTTGAAGAAAACCATCACCTCAAAAACTATACCCCATAAAAATATAAATTTGAAAAATAAAAAGAAATTTGAAAAGAAATACACTTGCATCAATTTGACTCTATATGTTAAAAAACTGATTTCTTATCAATTTATATTTTTTTCCAACATCTTCTCAACCCTTGATCAAACCATTAAACTGTATCAATCATTATGAAAATCAATTCAAAATAAGCAAATAAATTATACTCCACTTAATCATAATCACAAAAAGTAAAAAATAAACAAAATCGAATATATTATAATTTACAAATAAAATATTACATAGTCATCCGAAAAATGAGTAAGAGAAAATGATGGAGAAAAGAGAAAAAAAAAAAAAGTAACTTTCATTTTTTTTAATTTTTGAGCTCCATTTATTTGATATGTTGTAAATTATGTGTCAAGTGAGGGTTAATATAGTCTTTTTATAATTAGTATGAGAAAAAAGTGATATTTCTAAAACCTCATAAGTATCAAGTGATATTAAGAGAAACCTCAAGGGAGGTTTCTGATATTTCTGATACTATACCTTATTTTTACTGCTTTATGAGGTCGTTTGTCTTTCCTTTTGTCTCTGTCTCTTTTCATTTTTCTCTTTGCTGTTTTTTGAGCAATGGAGTGCACTTTTTTTTCCATGCTAAGTGTTGACAAGATACTAATTAGTAACAAACGTGCACGAAGTTATTGGATAATTTCTTTTCTGGTTCAAACATAATCTCTGATCCGCACATGTCACGATCCAGTCCAAGAGCTGGCCCAAGTAGATTTTTGGGCCCAAATTTACTGGTCCAAAATAGTTAATCCAAGTTACAAAGTAGCCCATGAACCCAAGTTCTTAACAATTTCTTTCTCTTAACCATTTCTTTCTTTTACATCCTTTCATCTTTAAGACTTTGCATTCTCACAAACACTTGCATTTCCTTGCGTAGCCAGAATCATAACCCTGGTTTCAACACTTCCTTGCACAATAGTAAAATTGCAAACGAATCGAACAGTTCGAGTCAAAACCCTACTCGAGCTCAGTTAATATCAAGGTCGAGCTCAAAGATACTCAACTAGTTAACTTGCGAGCCAACTCAATTATATATACATATATATATATATATTATTTTTTATTTTAATAATAAAAGTACATATATATCCCTAATATTTTATTATTTGATAAGAAAATTTATTATTTTATTTGATTTTTTAAAAAATGAAATAATTATTTTTATTTTTTTAAACTCGAGCTCAAGCTCGATCTTGACTCGATCTTTACATTGAAAGTTCGTTGAGTTTGGGTTTGAGTTCGAGGTTGATAAAATTAAGTCGAGACTCGATACAATTAGATCAAAATTCGACTCGATTCGACTCGTTTGCAGCCTTGATAATCAGAGCCATAACCCGTTGGTTTGAGGCTCACTCTGTTCAGAGATCACACAAGATTCACTCTGATACCAACTGTCACGATCTAAGTCTAAGAGCTGACCTAAGTAACTTTTTCAACCGAAATTTACTGGCCTAAAATGGTTAATCCAAATTACAAAGCAACTCATAAGCCTAAGTTCTTAAACCATTTTTTTCTTTTGCAATTTTTCCAACGCGGGATGCTACATTACACGAGAAAAAGGAGAAAAGAGAAATGAATGGTTTGAACGTCGAAGTAAGAACCTCAGGGATATCCCTGCCAATCAAGTCTTAAGGAACAATTGCTGGTAATTTTACATCAAAAATAGTTATCATCAATAATATTCGGGAATTTAATGGTGAAAATTAATCAACAGAATGTTCATGTACAAATCGGTTTTGAAACTATATGGCTTGTTACCTTTGCTGTGATGAAATACACTTGCATTCAAAGGCTCCAAACAGGCTGTCAGTTAACTAGGCTACCTATTGGATTGGATGAGGTACATTTCCATTCATAGGCTCCATATAGGCTGTCAGCTAGGATTAGATACCTACTACATTGGCTGAGGATAGGAGCTGAAAAGGTTGAGGATGATCCATGTGAAAGCATATATTTTATGTAAATAGTTTTACGGGCCGGGTCAAATAACCATTAAAGTGAAATTAGAAATTTAAGAATTTTTGTAACGAAGTACTTAACACAGTTAACATTCATCTAACTTATTTTATATATATATATATATATATATATATATATACTAATAATTATCATTCTTTATATTTATTTATTTTTTTATTTAATTTTATTTACTATCCTTTAAATTTATTTTTTTAATTAATTTTACATTTTAAAAAATAACACTTAAATTATATTTTAACGAATAGCTTATGTACACTAATTGGATAAACTCGAGATTTAAAATAGTTTCACGTAGGTGATTTGATAGGATGGCTATGGACTAGTGCTTATATACCATTTCTTTCTTTTCCTCATTTCTAACGTGGAACATACAAGTTATAGGGGTGATCTCCACCCTACACGTTGGACTTAGCCCCATGTATTGTTGGAATTACAACTGCTGCAGATGCACCTTTCTCAATGTAATATAATCAATGCCCCATTTCCAATTATATAAAACCTGTGTCACAGTGGAATGCATAGATTTGTCTAGGAATGTAATCGAGTTTAATCAAGACTCGAGCTCGAGCATTGATATATCCGAACTCGATCCGAACTCGATTCGACGTACAAGAAAAATATTCGAGCGAGTAGCATTATTACTCGAGTTCAAGTTTGATACATTATTCATAGAACTCGAACTCGATTCACATGGCATGAAGTCAAAACGAGCTGTATTGAATTCGAGTCAGAAAGATTTGAAATTTTTTGATAATTTTTGAGTGAAAAGATATTATCACTCTTAAAAAAATTTCATATAACTTAAAATATTTTATAAATCCAATCACTTTTACGATCACAAGGATAATTTTATAATAATAATATATTAAAAAATTAAACTTAAAAAATTCGATAAGGCTCGACGAGCTATCTACTCTTGCTATTAGATTTGTATATTTGAACTCGAGTCACGTGTTTTTGACCGAGCTGCTGGTTCTAGATTTTTCCGACATCATTTTCCCAAATTATTTCTATTCAATCACTCGCTCCCCAGTATTAATTTTGAAATGACTCTCAGAATAGTTTCTGAAATTTTAAATTGCCAAATTGCCCTTTTATTCAAACACTAATTTATGGGTTTTTTTAGTCATTTCAATGCTGTAAAGATAGCTAGTAAGTAAAACAGTCTAAAATTAGAGTTTTTTTTTTTTTTTTTTTTTTGCACTAGAGAGATTTTCATTCATTACATTTGCAATTTAGGAATTTAGGAGGTCACACGGACTTCACATTTTCCCTGAAATACAGTAAAAACATAAGGTAAGATATGATCCTCTTCTGTTGCTACATTTTTCCTGTTTTCTGGTTTGATTGAAGTCTCTGTATGTCATATTTTGTATGGAAGCAGTTGGATTTTTGTGGGTTCCTCTTATTTTTCGATAGTTGGTTAATTGTGGCTCAATTACGCTCTGATTCTTGGATTTGTTCATTTTTTGTTTAGTTAATTCATTCACTTACAGTTTTGAAATTTGTTCTAGTTCCTTCGTTTTCTAAAAAAGAAATTTAAAGTGGTTAGAAATTTTACGTTGCAGGGTTTTGATCTGTCTCGAGTTCTGTTTCGTTGTTGAATTTTAATTAATTGAAGTCTATGTGTTTTTGTTTCTCGTAGTAGAATAATTTGATTATGGTCCATAATTCCTTCCCGATGTTCATGTGCTTTCTTAGTTACTTGGCTGACAGTTTGGTCTAGTTTTGGGGGATTAGGGGATGAAAATCAGCAGAAAACTTGAGTTAGTAGAGAAAAAGGAAAGATTCTAAACTTGGCAAGTTTCTTGCCTTTTGTTTGAGAGTTTGGGAATGAAACGGAATGATATCCAATTTGTTGAGTATTGCTATTAGTCTACTTTACATTTCACGTGTATTATTCATTGAGTATAATTAATTTAGGCAAAATGGGTGACTAGAAAGGTTTAATAAGCTTTCATTTCACTTTCCTTCATTTCTCCCCATGTCTGAAATTCAATTGAATTATTTTCTCCAATCTCGTTGTTTACCTCAATCAAACTGCCAAACAGGAGAATTTTCATTTCTACCTTCTTTTTTCTCCAAGTCACTGGATTCAAACTTCAGTTACATTCATAGATTCCGAATGTTAAGCGATCGAATGTGTTGGAAATGAAACATGCAGGGCTAAACCAGGAGAGGTCAAATTATTATTATTCCAAATTGTATTTAAATGGGAATACATGGACTAAACTGTGTAAAAGTCTGGCACATAAAAGCACAAAACTACAACTTGTCCTTCTATGTTGAAGTTTCAAGTTTGTTTCTTATTACATTTTCTTTTCAGCTTTTTCAGTGTTGAGTTGTTTGCTTAGAATGGGGATATGAATTAATTCTTCATCGATTCTCGAGTTGTTTGCCTCGAAGTTTAGGGTATCGTAGTTCTGGTGGATATTACCCACATACGTGTAGGATTTGTGTAATATGCTTGATATCTTTTCGGTTTAAGGGTGTATTGATTTTACATTCAATTTTTGCTCATTTAGGTCTACGCTAAAAGATTGTTGTTAAATATCTAATGTTCTATCTCTACCTTTGGTCTTCTGAATTGCTTGGTGCTAGGTGTTTTTGCTGCTTTTGGAAGGTATGAGTTTCAAAAATTCTGAAGATTGGAGAAGACAAAAGTATGACAGACTAAGTGCTTTACCAGATGCTGTCTTATGCCACATCCTTTCATTTCTCCCAATGAAATATGTCGTTGCAACCTCCATTTTATCTACCAGATGGAAATACCTTTACATGTCTGTTCCTGTGATAGAACTAGATGACACTGTACATTCTCAAGAAGAAGAAGAATCTCAGGACAACATCAGAAGCGACAGTTTTAGAAGATTTGCAGATAGGGTGCTTATGCTGCGAAATGCTGACATAATTCAATTTCATCTCAAATGCACAACGACTTTCGAAAGTTCAGTAATCAATGCATGGTTATGTGCTGTGCTTTTGCATAAGGTTCAGGTGCTTAATCTTTTCATGAAATATGACAATCCTAGATGTTTAACAAGTGAACTTTTCACTTGTAAAACACTTCAGTGGTTAAACCTGGATAGCTCCATTATCATCAAGCCGAAGTTAGTTCATTTACCAAATCTGAAGATCTTACGTCTTTTCGGAGTAGAATTAACGGATGATGGTTCTATACCACAGATCCTTGCTGGTTGTCCTAAGCTTGAGCATCTGCACATGTGTGGTTGCCAATTGCATGGAATTCAAGTTCTTGATATTTCAACTCCTTCTCTGAAGAGCTTAGAATTTTTCAATTGTTACGGTGCATTCCGAGTTGTCATTGATACCCCAAATCTTGAGGACCTGTGCTATGTTGATTTTTTAAATGGAGATCCATTGGTGAAAAATCTGAAGTCATTGGTCAAAGCTTATTTGTTTCCTTACTCTGTAACTCTACAAAACACAGATGATGCATGCTTATGTGGGGGTCATGTCTCTAAGTTCCTGAATGCAATGGCTAACACCAAGTCTCTTACTCTCCTAACTGTTTGCTTGGAGGTAAGCTTTCATGCTTTTTCTATTTCTTCAGCTTTTTCAAATATTGTTAGAAATTCCGAAACTAATTCTGAGTCTAATATTTTGATATCTTGTATGAAGGGTCTCCTTCATTCCGGCTGTTCAATCCCCAAATTCCAAAATTTGACCTATATGAAGCTAGTGCCACGCCATAACTGTCATTGGGAATTGCTACCAATCCTACTTCACAGTACACCCAATCTAAAAACTTTGGCTCTTGATATGGTGAGTTAGGATGGGAGATGCAAAGTTTCACCTTAAGTTGCATATTAGAGTTGTTTTTCTTGTTTGGATATCAAAGTTTTCGATTACACTTGCATAGGAATTTCCAGACAACGATATTCGCCAATGGCCCAAGTTTCCTGTAACGCAGAATCAGCCCATCTGCTTGGCTCAGTACCTCAGGACAGTGGATATTTTCAATTTCAAAGGGATGCAGTTTGAACTTGATTTGCTAAGCTATCTTCTGCAGTATGGACAAGTACTGGAGAAGATAAACTTAATTTTTTCACAGAATAATGGATTCTCAAACTGGTCGGATGCAGTTAGGAAGATATCAGCACTCCCAAAAACATCATCGACATGCCAGCTGGAATTTCTTTGTACGAGCAAAAATACATTTTGCAAGCCTGTATGCTTGACATCCATCAGAAGTTGAACAGGGGCAAGCAATGGGACTTAAATTTCTGTGAAGAGCAACTGAGATCAGAGTTATTCTTGACAAGGGTTCTCTGCCTGCCGTGAGTATTGCTATTTCATTTTGTTGATTCTGCCATGGTCTGGCCTTCTAGCTGTGGATTTGTAAGTACTATCAAATAGATTTGTGATTTAGCTACTCTGTTTACGCAACCTGCTTTCTGTCTTGTGCAATGTTGCAATCCTATGAGGCTGATAAATTCAGTAACTGTTGGTACGAGTGAGGCAATGCAAAATGACACGTGCTTCGCCCTACCCTAGTTTATAATGCCTAGCTATTGAAATGACTAGTTGGTTAAAGGAAAAAATCAATTCCCTTGTATTGACTGGTTTTGCTAGTTTATTTCCTCTTTTACTTTCTCTATCTGCTTTTGTGGAATAATGGTTTGACACTACTTTTTATTTTTTTTTCTTTTTTCTTCTGTCAGTCCAAGCTTGTATGCTGTTAAATTCAGTTCTAGGATGTATGCACAGCTAATTAGTAACTTTCTACTTTAGAGACACTGTTGAAGGTAGAAGAAATCGAGTAGTAGTCTTTTGGAATTATCAAAGCAAGGGCCTTCCTGAGTTCCTGGTATATGGTAAAGGAAGCAAAAGCCAAGGTCTCTTGCTCTGTTTATAGACATAAAGGAGGAGGAAATTTTAGTATGTATGAAAAGAATTTGGCAACTCTTCCTGCATCTGAATGAAGGCAGGCGAAAATTTCAGTGGGAATGGTCACCAAACGGAATGATTTATAATTTAGAATGAAGACAGAAAGATTTAATAGAACGGGACAAGGACCTGAGAGGTAACTAAATTTTTTTTAATAAAAAATAGTGACAAAGCAGATTTTTGGGTTTTCTCGACAGCTAATATTGACACCAAAATTTTTTTTTTTCCAAGCATTCTATTATTTTTTTAATTAGTTAATGAAAGGAGATAAAAAAAACCTAGGAAGTTATTATATAAAGTGAAATTGCCCGTCTAAGCATTTGTCAATAACTTTCTCTGTTTTCTTTTATCAATTTATTCAACTTTCTCTACTCTTACATCAATCTAATAGTGGATAAAATTTATAATGGTGATAATTTTATATATGTTGTATGAGCATGAATTATTGACTACCTCTCGAGTGTAAAGTATTAATCTTTTGTGTTTTGGAGTTCATCTATTACATTTCGACTTGTTCTTTATTCTTTAGGTATAACTACACAACTTTTTTTTTTTTATAATTTTATAGACATAGAACTTTGTAGCCAAAAGTTTAGTTGCATGTAAATCTCACAAAAAAATTATGACAAATTGATCATTTAATAAGCATTAGTGGTAATTTTGACATTTAAAACGTTAGAGAATCTAGTTTATGGGTCTTTATGTTATTTTCAATAGAATGAACAACAAGCCTTCTTTTCTTACTTTAAATGCAACGCCAACGTCAGTGTGAAAACTGAAATGGCCGTGAAATCGTATATAAACACTGATTCCTAATCCAAATACGAAACCTATTCTAACACTACTCTGTTATGCAATTATCGTAGCAAGATAAAAGGCTACAAAATGGCGGTCAGCAGCCCAGATAAAGTTGAGGAAATCATAACATGGACTTCATTAGCGTTATGGATTTACCAACAGATTTGACGACAGAAATTCTACTGAGATGGCAGGTGAAATCATTGATCCGATTCAGGGGTGTTAACAAATCCTGGTGTGCATTCATCAAAAGCCTTGAATTCATCGCTCAGCGTCTTAGCCATGCCAACAGAGAGGATGACAAACAATAACAATACCTCCTCATCAGGCGCTTCATCGAAGACTTTAACGAAAAACGTCTTGTCATTCCATTCTAACAATGAATCGCTGGCCGTCATAGCCCCAGATTTGGAGGTTCCTACTTTCAATCATACCTTACATCAGGGCAACAGGCCCTGCTAATGGCTTCTTTTGCATCATGCATCGTCATGATGATATTTATTTTTTGTAATCCTGTGTTACGCAAATTCATCAAGCTTCCCGCTTGCCCTTTAGGGATCCCACATGGATGTCACAAGATCTCCGAGCATTCAGGATTCGAGAATGATCCTATCACTAATGATTACAAGGTTATCAGGCTAGTAACAATGACGCCTAATAAAAGATATGGACATCAGGCTTTTGTAGTCAGAGCTGATGTTTACAATCTCGGTACCAGTTCTTGGAGGGAGTTAGATACCGTTCCCCGATAGTGTCTGTAAGAGAAACCATATGCTGCAGTTTCATTTGAAGGATAGTTACATTGGGTCATCCAGAATGCTATCCTTTGTTTCAATATCACCAATGAGGTGTTTCGAGAGATAGAGTATCTCAATTTGAGCATTGGTAGTAGGGGCGAGAATAGTGTGACTATCTTAGAAGAATCCCTTATCCTTATCTCGAGCATATCAGGGAATCCCAAACTCTTTTCTCCAGCATATGATTATAATACTTCAATCAAGGTTTGGGTGATGAAAGAATATGGTGTTAGGGAGTCTTGGACCAAGAAATTTTCCACAGCACATCTACCAGAAATCAATTGCCAATTATCCTTTTGGAACAATGATGAGGAGCTGTTTACACAAATCAAGAATGGGAGAGTTGATCTTCATGGGATCTCCGCAATGGCCAAGAGCTTCGGAAGTATCAGATGTACGAGCCGACCAACTAACCATGGGTTTCCAACTTACCTAAGCGTTGTAACTTATACTGAGAGTTTGATTAGTCTCAATGCTGAAAGGAACCATTGTCTATTACTCCCTCCGTCCCGAAAAGTGACAAACTTTTCGAGAATTGGAGTATTTTTCAACACTGGGCAAAAAGAAGAGATATCCATCTACACTTCCTAAATTGTCCCCGCCAAACTGCCCAAACTTTGCCTATAAGTGGTGTGGTGAAGTTATTCAAATAATTTATGCAAACAAGTCAACAATTTGGGCCCACTATATTATTAAAGCTACACTAACTCTTTGCCTATGTTACACTGCACGTGCTAGCAAACATCCATTAGCACCAGTCACGCACTTTAAAGTGCATCCCGGTCTTATGACAACTTGTGCTAGACCCACATATTTAAAGGTAGTACTTGAAGGGTAAAGTTAGAAGAAGGAGAAAAATTCATTTGCCATTTTAGGCATGTGATAAACATTTTGGGACAGACCAAAATGAAAAGCATGACAGTTTCAATGGAACGGAGAGAGTATGACATTGGGGATTGTTTACTGGAAACTTAGTAGATTATTTTGCAATTTTCTTAATTTGATATGATCCGATTTCTTTGGTCCTTAGGCTTGGTAGTTCACAGGACTAATCTCTTCATTACACAGCATATACCTGTTCAATGGTTTGTTTTGCAATGAAACATTCGAAAGTGACTATTAAAACAAAAAAGTGATTAGCACCAGCTGTAGTTGTATATCATGCTTTTCTATGGTTCCACTGTTCTGTAAGAAATCTACTATCATATCTTGTCATTTTAGTTATATTTGGTTTCTGCAGATTGGTCCCTGCTCTGCATTCCTAGTTGGTAAAGGTTTTGAAATTTTTTCGATCCACTGGTTCTTTAATTTCTTGGAGTAAATTAAACCAAATTCGGGATTCTAGTTTACGCTTAGACTTTCATGAATCCTTATTTCATCAGTGCATTACCATTCAATTTCTGGTGACTAATAAAAAAACCGCTTCTTTTTTAAGTTCTGATAGAGCTTTGAATGTGATAAATCAGCTCTTTATGCAAGTCGTTTCTCTTGGTTTTAACCCAAAATCCTGATGTAAAGGAAATGCTTCTCATTTTGCCTTTTTACACTTCGCCTGTCTTAGGGTCTGTTGCAACTATAGCAGTCCGAAGCTTGTCATTAATTGCTTGAACAAAAGAAGAAACAGTGGCCAACAGGTTCTTCCATCATTAATGAGAGTGTCTTTTTTTTTTTTTTGTCGAAACGATAGGAAATATCATTAACTAAAAACCATATTACATGTACGAGCAACGGCTCGAAGTAACTGCACAAAAAGTGTTCAACAAACACTGAGGAAATTTCTTTCCTCATCCACAATTATGCTTAAAGCATCCACACTCAGTAGTCTATTGTCTCACATATTTTCCTCACTTTCCAAACCAAAAGAGCACATGCAAAACAGTCTCTTCAGGCTTAGAATATCCTCCAGCAATGTAGCCATCTTACTATCTGTTGGCCGTTGCTGTGTTAGTTGTTTCCATAGTTCTTTGTTGCAGAAATTGAGACGTACCTCCCTCCACTGCTGCTGTACAGCTTTGCATAGAACCAATTTTACTGCCAGAGCTGCGTCTAAAATGTTGCTCCCCAAACTTCTCTCTGTCAGCATCCAATCTGCAATTTTAGTGTTTGCCGCATTCTTTGCTGTGACTCCTATGCCAAAAGCGTTTTGCCCTTGTTTCTTTACTGTTGCCACTTGTATGATTAGGGCCCCTTCATTTCCATTGCTCTGTCCTTGGAGAACATTGGTATGAACTGTTTCTTCTGTACTCTTTTTATCCCCCTGCTGATGTTCAATCCCTTGTTCCATCCATTCTTTGTGCGCCCGTTCTACTAATCTCAGTGGAGCTAATCTAATTGAGTTCTCATATTCCCTCTTGTTCCTATCTTTCCATACCTGCCATAATATATTTGCTGTCAGGCCAATATGCTCCTTACCTTCCTGTCTAGCTCTTGCTTCTGTAACTCTCATCCACCATCTCTTAAAATCACCCCTCTGATCATTTGCTCCATCCCACTGAATGGGGGCTGATTTCCATACTTCCAGTGCATGTGGACAGTTGAGTAACATATGTTCTATGGTTTCTGGAGCCTCACCACAGGTTGAGCAGATAGGGTCCCCTATTCCTGTTCGCTTTCTCACTGCCTCCCTGACTGGTACTGCTCGTTTAATGCACTTCCAGATGAAGTGCTTAATTTTATGCTTGATGTTGAGCTTCCATAAAGTATTCCACATCTGAACCATTTGCTGGCTTCCTTCTGAGATGCTTGTTCCAGCTCCCTCCTGGTTGCACCTTCTTCTGCTCATGCTTTTTTCCATCAACAGTTTGTATCCTGAGTCGACTGTGTATTCCCCTCCAGCTTTTGGTTTCCAGTAGAAGCTATTCTTCCCTCCCTGATAAGCTTAGAGGGATACGGAGAATCTGCTCAGCGTCTTCTTTGTTGAAATATCTGAAGATAACATTCCTGTTCCATCTCTGCTGGCAGATTAGCTCATCAACCATCTTTAACTCACAGTTACTTGTTCTACATGTTGAAAGCTTCCCCGTAGGTGTCTCTGGTAACCATTTGTGGTCCCAGATTTTCGTGTTCCTACCATTTCCAATCCTCCTAATCAGGCCTTCCTCTATTAAGCTCCTTGCTCCCAGCAATCCTTGCC